CCAGAGATGGAGGCAGAGATGGGGGCATGGAGAGGGGGAGAGGCTGAGGACTCTAGATTCATCAACTAAGAAGCAAAGGACTAAGAGCTGGTGGCCAGGAGCAGACTTGCAGAATGTGCCCTTTGGAGATGTAATTTCTTATATATGCCTGAGTGGGTTTTTTTGTCTGTGTGTTTTTTTAAAAAAAGCTAAAGTGGATAAAGAAAAATACTTTTAACTGATGGTATATGGAGGGGATTATAATCAAGGTAATGAATGAAACAAGTTATATGAATGGTTGAATGTGAAACTGATGATGTGCCCTGTAAACTTTCATTCAATCCACAATAAAAACCTTAAATTAAAAAAAAAAAAAATTGCACCTACCTCTAGAGAAAAGGAGTCCAACAAAGCCAGCAAACCCAATAACACCGAGTCTTGGGAAAAATCCAGGAGGTGCATTCTTGAGATATTCATAGCTGTCTATAATAGAATTAGGCAGGAAACTGTTTTATAAATTGTTCAGTTACAAAATGAAACAGTTTCATAAATCACCAGTACATATGTTGTTGTTGTTAAGTGCTGTGGAGTTAGTTCCGACTCATAGCGAGGACCCTGCACAGGGTTTCCGAGGCTGTAAATCTTTACGGGAGCAGAACACCTCATCTTTCTCCCACGGAACCGTTGGTAGTTTAGAACTGCTGACCTTGCGGTTCACAGCCCAATTCGTAACCACTACGCTACCAGAGCTCCTTATACCAGTACATATAGGATACACCAAATACTTCTCAAATCATGTAGTCCTTATTTTCTGGGAATATGCTTCTTTTCAATATATTCTTTTTATGTGATATACACACAGTATTCACATTGCAAGTGTCTACTTTACAAGCACTTGTAATCTGAAAAATTGATGTTAGATTATTTTCATATTCCCAAAGGCAATAGATCAGAATGAACTATTCACACAGGAAGGAATATGAATACAGGGACCCCTCACTGTTTAAATTCTTGTTATCCAAACAGAGACAGAATAGATTTGGAAAAATCTTTGGCTACATCTGTCCTTTCTGAAACTTTGCTGCTTGCTCTCTCAAACTCAGAAACCAAATACATTAGACTCAGAATATGTATCCTTTGCTATCTGATCTCTCTATTATAACTCAAGACCAGAATAAATTTGTATAATGAAGGAAACTTACAGTATATGGGGGAATGGTCACTTGTGACAGTGATAAAATAAGTAAAAATAAATTTAACACACTGCCTACTTCCCACACCTGAACATGTCTTATGACTTTATTCACAAGATGTCTCCTATCCTCTCCAGAGCCCACCTCACCAAATAAAAGCCAGCTTAAGTCCATTTCCAAAAGATTGTCTTTCTTAAACTCATCAACCCAGACATCTTTTCCTCCTGTAAAGTCCAACCACATTTATTCTCTGTACCATCATTTGGTGCCTAATCCTATATAACTTTGTGTTCTAATTATTCAGATGTGCATTTTATGTCTCCCCAAGCTCCTTAATGGTGGACTACTTAGACGTCTATGTTATCTTTTCTCAGTGGTAACAGTGGATAGTCATATAAATCCAATAAAAGTAAACAAATATTTATTAAGAGCATTGTGCTAGAAGCTGAAGAATACTAAATGTATTGACAAATGAATTCAGGTAGGTCTTGAGTCAGAAAGCCTTCATGTCTCTCCTAACCTCATCTTCAGCCTTTCATAGCTGCTTGTGGTTTCTCACTCACATTAACACTGAGCCGCACTGCTACACCTTGAGCACGATGCTTTCTGTCTGAAATGCCATCACAGTTCCACCCCTACATTTTAGGGGGGCCAATAATTGCTCTGTCAAGATTCATCTCAGAAATCGTTCCCTGATGGTTTCCATCTCCCCAGTATCTTTTAAGCTGAGTCTCTTTCCTCCATATATTCAATGGCAGTCTGTGTTTGTCTATTTGCTAACTAAATAATACTGAGGAGTCCTGGTGTGGCACTGTAGGATAAACACTGGCCTCCTAACCGTAAGGTTGGTGGTTCAAACCCACCAGCCACTCCTTGGAAACCCTATACAGGGTTGCTATGAGTTGGAACCAACTTGACAGCACTTAACAACAAATAACTGCAATATAATACTGAATCATTTATAACATGCATCTCAGTGGTTGTGATCACCACTTTAATCAACCTCGATCTGTGATGCGTGGCATGAGGCAACATACCAAATGTATGCTGAACTGAATTAATAAACGGGACCATTCAGTAATTCTCTCCCCCCAGATAATATCACATACATGCGAGTTTTCTTTTTCCTAGGTTCTTTGGAAAATGTATTCATTTTCAATACTACTATAGGATTTGTGTTATATTTGCAATATTTCTAGTCTGACCTTTCACTAATTTTGCCTTTAATCTAGTTTTCAACTTCCATCCCCTTGTCCGTCTCATTTTAAGTACTTTTCTAATTCCCTTTATTTTTGCCTACCAGCACACTACTGCTTAATTCTAGACATGTATACAGAGCACTTGACAGAAGGGCACTCAGATGGCTTTGGTGAGCTGAGCCAAAGTGAACAAGCAAATTACAAACAAGTGGGAAGGTAGACAGAAGGTATGCTTTCAGACTCCTGAAGCTGCAGCACAGCTTCTGATAATGCATCTTGGCTGTGACTGCTGGGAAATGGCCTGGTTGCCTTTACAAAAAAAGAAAAACATAACTAATGTTCCTTTTTAAGAGTCTTTGCTGCAACTACAAATCCAGGAGATGGAAAAAAGGACTAGTATTGCAAATAGTACCTAAAGCTATGAGTCAATAGGAAATGATTCATGACAATGAAGAGACAGAGACGGCCTCAGGAGTGCCTTAGTTTCTTCAGGTGAAAAAATACAGATAACAACAGTATCTAACAGGATTTGTTATGAGGATGTCAGATGGTTATGAGAATTAAATGAATTACCATTTTTCAAGAACTTGAATAGTACTTGACATGTTGTTGTTGTTAAGTGCCCTCAAGTTGGCTCCGACTCATAGTGACACTATATCGGGTTTCCAAGGAGCAGTTGGTGAGTTTGAACTGCCAATCTGAGGTTCAAACCAACCTTGCAGTCCAATGCTTATCCTACAGTGTCAAACCAGTACTCCATTTGACACATAATAAGCATGAAATAAGTATTTATTAAATTAATGTTAAGAAGTTATTATTAACTTGTATTAATAATTTAAAGAACTGGTAGGCTGTTAACATGTCTGCCCTCAAACAAACAAAAACATTTCTTGATTTGATAGTCTTGAGGGTATTGTTGTTAAGTGCTATCGAGTCAGTTCCAAATCATAGCGACCCTGTGTAAGGTTTCCAAGGTGGGTTTAAACTACTGACCTTGTGGCTATCCACTGCTTATCATAATAGCACCACACCAGGATCCTCAAGGGTATCAAAATATGATGACCTTAGTAAATAGTCATGTTTATTTTATTCCATCGCTGGAATAAACCCTTGTAAAAATAAGATTTAATTTGCAAAGATGCCCATTATGGGGAATTAAATATTATCAACATATTTATTAATTTACAAAGAACCTAAGCGGTATAGTGGTTAAGCGCTCAGATGCTAACTGAAGGTGGTTCACACCCAGCAGACATGGCAGGCTGCTTCCAATGGGATTGACAGCCTTGGAAACCCTCTGGGGCAGTTCTACTCTGTCCTACAGGGTCACTAGGAGTCAGAACCATCTCGAAGGCAGTAGGTTTGATTTCAGTTATTAATTTACTAGTTCCTGATTGATAACAGTCAGAACACATTGTGAACTCAGTTTATTTGTGATAAGTGAATGGCCCGCATGTGAAAAATACAGGTCAATAAAAATCAAGTAAAAATTGTAAAAGCATCACTGATTATGCAATAGACCTTTCCCTCCTGCCTCTGTATTTTGTTGTTGTTATGTGCCATGGAGTCGGTTCCGACTCACAGCGACCCTGTACAGGGTTTCTGAGGCTGTAAATCTTTACGGGAGCAGAAAGCCTCATCTTTCTCCCACTGAACAGCTGGTAGTTTCAAACCGCTGACCGTGAGATTAGCAGCCTGATTCGTAACCACTACACTATCAGAGCTCCTTCCTGCATCTATATAGAGACCCTATATAGCATTTCTGTGACTGCAAATCTTTGCGAGAGTGGCTGGTTGTTTTGAACCACCAACCTTGTGGTTAGCAGCCCAATGTCTAACCCACAGTGCCACCAGGGTTCCTTGTAAACGACTATAGCATTTGCACCGTTATTAATACATGCTAAACTTCTATAGCATGTATTAATAATGGTGCAAATGCAATTTTATTCAAACACAATAACTAACAAATGAACACAGAAAAATCAGTTACTGAGCTACGCTGATTTTGAAAACCTGTTGCTCAGTTAGCATGTTACACTTGGTTGACCTTTTTAAAACAATCCACTTTAAAAAGATCTTTTTAAAACAATCCACTGTGTGCACACTCCCTACACCTAGCTCAACAATCCTAATGGTCTTGAAGTGACTTCCCTGTTACAGCAGTGGTTCCTGACCCGGACACTAGTCCTCTGAAATCTGATGAAAGCAATAGATTCTCATTCAAGAAAAATGTATATATCTCTAATATTCTGAATATAATTTTAAGGAATTCACAGATCTCCTGAAGAAATTCCAGGGACAGTAATTATAGAGTATCACATTAATAAAGGAACTGACCAGGCCTTAAATTCAAAATCAACTTACCTACTCCCCACTGAGCAATACTCTGCATCTTGGGCTTAGTGTAGAAGTACTTTTCCTAAAAAGTTCAAAGAAAATCAATGAGCAGGAACTGTTGATGGGTAACTTGATGGCATATAACAACAACAACAAAGTAATAATAAATATATTGAACTTTACTGAATAAATTATCATACTATTAATGCTTTTAGAACAAAGGGATATATTTTCTGGGTCTTTTTTTAATTTTCTTTTGAGAGTTTCTCTTTCCAGCAAACTGACTGGCAAAGTGGCAAAGATTCCAAACAAAGTGGTTTCATGACCCAGTCTTCACTGTTTTATTAAAATGGGTAGACTCGACTAAAAACCAACTCTTTTGATAATTAAAGTGGCAATCCTTTCCCCGTGTGATTACGTCTGCCTTTCATTACTAAGTTTATTTCCAGATTTGCTGAAAGAGTATTCTTTTAGAGACTACGTTGAAAAGCTGCCCATTTGAAGCAGGCACGACTTGGCATTAAAGAGACAAAGTTGGAAACACACTTCAACTTATTCTGAAGCAAAAGTAGTATCAACATTCTCCTAACAATAACAGGCTTTGCACAAGAACATCAAATGCTAGGAGGGACCCACCTTTAAGAAACTTACTATTTGAAAAGAAACACATAGGTAGAGGAAGGTGTCGGAAATATTTTCTACTTGAAGAAAATATGTTTCCTTTAATTCAACTCAATTGATAAGTTATCCTTATATCTTTAAATAGCTTGCAATAATAAATCTGAATTTGGGAGGTAAACATAAAGAAAATTAAATACTGCTTCATTAAAATCCATTATTGGCTTCTCCATTATTGGCCCATTAAAAAAGAAAAAGAAAAACTAGAAATCCGTGTCTAAAGTGACTGCCTACTTCTCTTGCTAGCCTAACCTGACTCGATGACACTTAATATTATGCACAGAAGAAAAGTAAAAAACAAAAAAAGCAACCTTAGGTGGCAAGGTAAATAGACAAAGTATGTTTGGTATTAAAAAAACAACAAAAAAAAATATAAAAAGACAGGAGATAACAACAATTACACCTACAAGATATAAAAACACACAAATTTCTGGACTGTATCTCAACAACTACCAAAAACCAAAAGATGGTTTACAAATCTTCCAGAAATTGTATATATTTTTCACCAGGAAAAAAAAAAATTCGAGAAGAAGAGAATAAAGTCTAAGTACTTTACAACATATGAAGTCATCAGGCATTTCACAGCACAATAATAATACAGCTATGATACTTATATTTACATTTACAATTTATATTGCTGCTAGAGTCCATGTTTACTAGTTTCTTTTTAAATTGGTGAGACTAGTCTCTTTCTCCATTGGCACAGAGAGTAGAATTAAAAATGTAAGGTAAGTTCTGGTTGAAAATTTAATTTCAAAATTGAATTACTAAAAAAATTGAATTACAGAACCAAGTAACTGTAGACCATGTCTCACACATCCACATATTATTTTTTACTAATTTGTCATCAATTTTCAAAATCAAGATAAAGAATAGAAAACATATGTACCAAGGCCTCCGAAAGCATTCCTCCATTGATAGATTGTAAACATCACTTGCAGATATTAAAAACCACAAAAACACTCAAACAAAGAACAAATGCCCGATCTAAAACATGACTAGTGACAGAAACCCATCTCTTGATGTACTTCTATAGCCATTAGCGGCAAATAGTTTAGTTCTCAAACATGTACTTTCACCCTCTTATTTAACCTTCCTATTATTGCATTCAAAATGCTCTACAAGGAAGCTTCAAAAAGTTCATGGAAAATGGAATTAAAAGATAATGGAATTTCTGCACAGACTTTCTGAAGCCCCCTCATATAATCCTACCAGTTTAAAATTATACTAATGGCAGATTCTTTGGGGGAAGAAAATTTCCCATTCTGTTATGTTTGTATTACATCCTTTTCCTTGGACTAGAGTTCCAGCCCCACAGTCTCTCTTGGTAGACAAAAACCTTTTCCTATCTACAACCAACAAGATGATCACCACCCCACCTCTCTAACCAAGGTGCCAGTGAGAGGGAAGTTATCTCTGCAGCTATGGCAACAGCTGCCACCAGGAAACAAGGGCATCTTTGTCCTCTCCCAGACCCAGAGACGAACATTTGTAAGTTGTGTACTCTTAAGTTGGACCATTTTGTCATGCCTGTTTCCCAAGAACATGCAGCCAATACAGACATCTCATTACTGATTCAAAAATGTACCCACTCCATTTCCAGAACAGCGTACCTGACACCAACTTGTATATGGCTCGCAAAAGTGTCGGAGCTGTGAAATGTTTTCCTCAAGTAAGGTTCTTGGCTCCTCCACATATTTAGATTGATCTTCTGGAACTGAGTAGAGTGAAAGCTGCAGACATTGTAAAAACAAAGAAATTTCAAAAATGTATACTGTTATAACGAAAAATGATCAAATTTATAAGCATAAGCTTTCTAACAATTCATGAGTTACAGTGACCCATAGGTTTGCATGCACCCTAAGCCTTACTTCAAATAATCTTTGCACTTGACTTATTTTCTTTCTGCAGACTAACAGAATCAATAAGAGTAAGGTCCCACAGCTATCAAACAAAGCAGCTTCCCTTCATCTATTTTATATTGGCATTTGGTATTCCATCTTAGATTCAGTTTGAAAGAGGATTTTATTACTCTAAAGGGTAGGTTGTTGTTGTTGTTAAGTCCCGTGGAGTCAGTTCTGACTGATAGCCACCCTGTATAGGGTTTCTGAGGAGCAGCTGGTGGGTTTGAACTGCCAACCTTGCAGTCCAGCTCATTAACCCGCAGCGCCACACCAGGACTCTAAAGGGTAAGTTGGAAGAGGGCTAAAAAAAAAAGCTTGAAAAGTGACTCAAGAGTATGTTAGATCAAATGATTGGTCTAGTGATAATCAAAGCAAGACAAGTTTGTTACCCAACCAAGAAGAAAACTTTTCAAAGCCACTACTGGCAACCTTCTTCACCCTGAAAAATGCCACTATGCCAAAACCTGAGAAGAAGAGAGCAAAGGGCAAAAGATAAGTTAACTAGCTTTGCATAAACAGAGCTAAAGCAACTTTGCTCATGATTAATGGTAGATATTGATATCACTTTCTTCAAAGTCAGGATAAACATAATACTCAAAATGATCAGGGGACAGCACAGTAAAAAAAAGAAAGCAAATTAATGGTGAGATTTATTTAATATTTACAGATTTAAGCCTTAAATCCAACCAAGAAGATGGTTTCTTGGCTTCATAAACAGTCAAGAATCAGGTAAGAAAAAAAAGGCAAAGCTTTCACTAATAAGAGGTTCACTGTGCTTATAATCAATAGGGACATAACAGATTCCCTACAAAGGACCTATGGAACATTCCTTAATTATGTCCTTAGCTAAGTACCATTAAAGTATATTTGTTGAAAGAGTTACAGGTTAGTAGTTTGCCACAAAGACAACCAAGCTATCGGTAAATACATTTCTTCCTTTTTTAATGTCTTCTAAACTGTCAAGTTGTTGTTGTTGTTATATGCCGTGGAGTCGGTTTCGACTCATAGTGACCCTGTACAGGGTTTCTGAGGCTGTAAATCTTTACGGGAGCAGAAAGCCTCATCTTTCTCCCATGGAACAGCTGGTAGCTTCGAACTGCTGACCCTGAGGTTAGCAGCCCAATGCGTACCCACTACACTACCAGAGCTTCCTGATACATGATTTGTAAAAATACTCCTATGGTAGCTAAATCAGACTCTGAAAATATATCACAATGTGAAGGACATGATACCTCATCAACCTTGACAGAGTTTTTGGTGGGTGAGTCCTTCTTTGGTGATGCATAGACTTTAAAGGTGAGCAGACTCAGGCTGGCGGGTCCCACGGATCTCTGAATTGCCTGAAACACAGAAGCAATTGTCAGCATTCACTCTGTGCTTTAAAAATGAATGTGCATAATGCGACCATATACGTAGCTGTAGTACTCCTGCCATGAAAGCCTTACTGCATTTTATGAGAAATCAATTTATCCCTTAAGTTCTGAGAATGTCAGAAGCCAAAGAAAAGCTGTCACAGACTTCAAACTTTCAAGTCACCTTTATCTTAATTTCCAAAAGACAACAGTTGTCAAGTTTTTCTATTTAGCTGATCAAGTAAAATTAAATTAAAAGATACATATCACACATGGGATTCTCTGTAAGTGTGAATCAAATTTTGGCAATGGGTTTATTTTAGGGAGGGGGTGTTATTAGTTTAACTGGGTATGGAAATAAGAAATCACTAATAAAACAATTTAAATAAAAATTAAGTACTGTGTTCATCTAGAAAATCGTAATTTCAAGGCAATGTTGCTATAAATTTCTTTTTGTTCCAAGACACAAGTGAGCCAGCTACTGCAAACATCAATCAGCCAATGTGGCTTGTGCCCATTACAGTTCTTAGGCAGAAGCAGCAGTAACTGACACAACCCATAAACAATTAGGCCCTACAAAGAAGGGTTCTGAGTCATCATTTTTTTAAAAAATTGGGGTCTGTTCTGATTTAACTGCATCAGCCTTGACTGAGTGGGTTCAAGCCACTTTGAAGCCCTGCTTATTACAAGAAAAAGTATTTCAATATTATAAAAGTTTATTTAATAGGTATTTTCTTTTCAAAGTAGTAACCTTGATAAATCAGATACTTAGAATTTGTTGCAATCATTTATTTAACAAATTGAGAAGTGAAATTTACTTTTACTGTGTGTGATCATCTGGCTTCTATGTCTAAATGACTTCAGATCAAATTTTAAGGCTATAAGAAAATCAATTTCATTATGTTTGAAATAAAAATGGGGACAATTTTAGAAAATTGCATTTGTTTAAAAAGGGAAGAGAAATCTGTAATACTGTATGATTCCAGTGAGTTGCTTTTTTGTTTGTTTTTAATGTCACACCTAGGGTGTAAGAAGAGTCCTGGTGTGATGCTTTAGGATGAGCACTAACCATAAGGTCAGAGGCTCAAAACCATGAGCTATTCCTCTAAAACCCTATACAGGGTCACTAAGAGTCAAAATCAACTTGACAGCATTTAACAAAAAGGTGTAAGACAGAGTTTCTGAAGCCCCATTGTATATTAGTATGCCCAGAAACAAGTCTGGAAAGCTGTGATTGTCTGTGTTGCTGTGTTGTAAAATGGCGTTAAGTTGGTTCCAACTCAAAGCGACTCTGTATAGGGTTTCCAAGGAGCGGCTGGTGGGTTTGAACCGCCGACCCAGTGATTAGCAGTCCAGTGTTTATCCTACAGCACTACACCACGAGGTGATGGGATTAAGGATTAAGGGTGATTCGTTAGTATTATCATATTTCCTGAAGTTTTCACAAATATTGATTTGGTTTGCAATATACAAAGAACAAAAATGGCTGACTCCGGAAGATATTCTAAACAAATTTACCACAAAGAAAATAAATTTCAAATGAAAACAAAAGATTTCTAATCAATGATGGTACTTTTGGAATAAATATACTAATCAGTGAAAAATACATTGAGAGGATAATTAAATCTAGTCTCTCAAGATGACTGTTCTGAAACAGACTGAGGAAGGACTTAAAGCTCAAATGGACTGTAACTGTGACTGTGACTGGACATTCACTACTCCTTCCCTTTCCCCCCAATAGGAATAAAACCAACAAACTGGATTTTTATTTTTCTGGTCACTCAAGTCTGTATCACCCATTAGGTTATACCTGGCTTTGGGATTGATGATTTTGTGATGTTTGGCATTAGAACTGATCATCTTGTGGATTCCTGATGAATCCGTTGCTGCCCAACTTTTTCTTTCTCTGGTTCTCAACTCAAGTTCCATCAGCAGTCCTTTTTTTTTAATCTGTTTCTGTGCTCATCTACTCTATTGCCATCCACCAGTTTTACTCTTTGACAAACAAACACACATTTTTACTTTTTTTAAAAAAAGTTTTTATTGTGAATTATGTGATAGTTTACTTGGGAAAACATTAGCTTTACATTCATCCTAGCTTATCTCATCAAACAAACAAAGGGTACACCCCGCAAGCCTGTCCCCTGGCTGTCAGCACACAGCCCCTCTCTCTCCCTGCGTCTAAAGTCCCCAGCTGCTCCATTTTTCCATGTTATCCTCTCTGCCTCCATCTCTGGTCGCTGCTTCTCTGGGTAGGGTCATGCTCTCTGCTCTTCTCCCTTGATGGTCCCAGGGACCTCCGCTCCTGGACTGCATGATCAACCACTCCCCTCCTTTTGTTACAAAACTTCTACCTTTACCTTTCCAACACTCACAGTCAGTCCCGGTAGCAATCATTCACTACTGAACCACAAGAGTCTTATCCCCATCTCCTTTCATCAGCCCCATCCAGACAGGTTGAAACCACTCAGTGGAGATTCTACATTTCCCTGCACCCTCTTGAACTAGGCTCTCTATTGAAAGCCTATTGTAGCACCCATTTTGGGTAACCAATGTCTAAGTTGCCCATTCTTGCTGACCCTGTGTACCAAGGGGGTGGGAATGATCCTTGCTGTAAAGATTTGTTCCCTCCTTTGACCTACTGCATCAACAAGTAATGCATTTACTGTCAATTTCTATTCAAAAAAACAGTTTTTTGATGTGCTAAACTACTCTCACTTCTTGGGTAGCACAGTACCATGTACCTTCAGATTCAGTTCCCATGAAGAGATATAAAAGACATTTATTATACTTTTTATTAAAGGAAGTTGCTTTATTAAAGTGTAGTGCTAAGAGTCATCAAATCGGTTCCAACCTGTATAGGGTTTCCAAGGAGCAGCTGGTGGGTTTCAACCACCAAGCTTGTGGTTAGCAGTCCAGTGTTTATACTACAACGCCACACGAGGATTCCTATATACATGTTGCTGTTAAGTGCCTTCGAGTCGATTCTGACTCATGAGGCACTCCACCAACCTTTCGGTGTACTAGTTTTGCATAAAATATGTCTCTCATTCCTCAACTTTTTTTCCCTTTGTTTTGTAAATAAAGCTTGCTTCTTAAGGAATAAATGCTCAGCCCAAGAACTTTATCCTCACCATAAATTCTTAACCTCAAGAACCATTGAGAAGCAGGGATTTTTGGCTTCAACTCCTTATCCAGGGTACAAAGAGATTTTGCTCTAAGTCACTTGCACTTATCCCAAATCAAGATATTTCAAATTTTAAAAAGATAAGATTTCATTCTTTTAGAACATGTTTTGTTTTTCCTTGTTCAACTGTTTGAAAATCCCTTATATATGTGTAAGTTGTCAAGCCTACACAGTATTTCTATATATTTTTTTCTTATCCTTATTGAGAACAGGAGTGAACATCTTAAATACTAAACCAATATTGAAGGTGTGTGGTATAAAGGGGGTTGGGAGAGAGAGAATTTGAGACATTCCATTAGGAACTCCATATATATATATATATATACACATACACACACACACACACACAAGTGTGTGGTGGTTCTATAGGGTGAGCACTAGACTGCAAACCACAAGGTCCATGGTTTGAGTCCACCAGCCACTCTGTGCAGGAGAAAGATAAGGCTTTCTGCTCTCACTAAGATTTAAAGCCTCAGAAACCCTATACAGAGGCGTTATGAGTTGGAACCAACTCAACGGCACTCAACAACATCATATATGTATATATATGATGTTGTTGAGTGTTATCAAGTCAGTTCCAAGTCATAGGAACTCTATACATTGTTTCTAAGGAGTGGTTGGTGAGCTTGAACCTCCAACCTTGAGATTCAAACCAACCTTGCAGTCTAGTGCATTAACCTGCAGTGCCACACCAGGGCTTCATGTATATATATATACACACATGCACATATATGTGTATGTAGATGTATGTAGTATATGTATGTGTGTGTGTATATATATATATATATATATATGTATTTTAGGAGCTCTGGTAGCGTAGTGGTTACGAATCGGGCTGCGAACCTTAAGGTCATCAGTTCGAAACTACCAGCTGCTCCACGGGAGAAAG